ATAATGACTAGTTACAACACTCAAACAAAACAAAAACAAAATCATACTTCCCGATCCAAATTTCTACAGGTTATTTTAAATGGCTAGTTTTCAAATTAAAGCACTCTAAATCGAATTGGTAAAAACAGAACATTTACTTCCGCTCTCCATCTATAGACTTACAACCAATTACAACTATAACATTATCATTATATCATTTCTTTCAGATTCTCAGATAATAGGTACGTACCTATAATTAAAATAACTTTATTATTAACAACTTTCCCGTACGTATCTCGAGGTGTCTACTGGTCTTGTTGCCGTTGTTACGTTTTGTTGTTTTAGGCGATATCTTGTCAAAACTGATGCAGAAATAAACAGCAATTATCTGTTAGTACCATGAGCGTGATGCAACACCACTAATTTTCTTGTATGTAATCATCCGAGCAATGAGAAAACGCTGTACTAGTTCATTTCCTATATACAAGAACGGTGCTTTTAATGAGCCAATCGAAACAAGGTTGTACCAAAAAATTGAGGACTATTTAGCATCGAAAAATTAAGTTGCTTCCGATTTATGGTCACGAAATTTAAAAATAAAACAAAAAATGTTGGAGCAAGAATATATAATATGATACGATTTAGATACAGGGTGGCTCTACGGCCAGAGCAAATCTAGCTGTACTCCAGTGGCTTGCTTGCGTAGCCATCATATGGGTAATGTCAACCACACAGACGGGAGCTATGAAAACCATGCTGAATCTAACCCCTCTCTACATTTTGCTGGAAAGGAAGGTCAGGAGGCTGATGAGTGAGATTAATGACCACCAGATCCGCGGCATGGTCACAGACTCGGAAGTTTCCCGACAGCACATAGAAAAATCATACAGCGTCCTTATTCCAAAAAAAGACGTATGGAGTAGGGGGACAAAACCCTCTTCAAGGCAGAATATGTGCTGTACACGGACGGCTCCAAAATTTAGAAAGGAGTAGGAGCGGGAGTTTTTGGCCAGAAGCAAAGAATTGACATTAATAAACCAGGGCTCTCTGGCCACGATCTTCCAATAATAATTTTCACCCTGCTAATAAGACTAAATTTTTTTTTGTATGGCCAGTCAGCCCTTAAGACCCCAAACGAGTTGACTCAATGTGTCTGGAACAGAGGATACAGCGGTGTGGATAGCAATGAAAAAGAGATAGCCCAGAGCTAATTCATTCGAAGACGTTTGTACCTAACTCTTCCATTAGTCTGTGGATACGACACCGCTGTCCTAGCAAAGTTACAAAAGTTAGGACATATAATTATATAAATCAGAAAATTTCTTAAAGAGTTAACAGAAGACAGAAATTTCTACTAACTTAAGACTCTCAGCAAATTAGAATTTATGGGACCTCCATATAATGAAGATGGTTCAAGAAAGACTTAAATTTGTTGGTTAGTTTCTAAATGAATCAATTATTAGGACAATAAAACAAAAGAAGCAAAAGTGGTTTTAAACTTTACAGTTATTCATTATGAACTCCTTCAAAAAAAAACTATCGAGTGCGACTCTGGTTAAAAATATCCGACCACAGTTTATGTAGAGAATTGCTGGGAATATATTTTTTTTAATTTTTAGCACAATTGCCAATATATGCAAATTTCTCACGGAAAAAATCAATTTAATATACATAATATAATAACTATTTCTTGGTAAGTATTTTTTTCTTATAATTTTGTTATTGTTTTCCGGTGATTCTTGCAAGTCAAATAGAATTTTTATAGGGATTAAGGAAAATGGTTCGGCTCTTAGTTACTAACAAAAGGATAACGGATTAGTTTGAGTTTAATTTTTTAATTTTATATTTAAAAATATGCTCAAAATTTATCTAGCTCAAGATATATCGCCTGCTTCACTTTATCATTTTTATTGGTTAGCCCTTTGCCCTACGCACACTCTTGATAGTGTGACGATAGTCTAATTTATTTATAGTTTATTTATTTAAAACACACTATTTACAATTTATTTATGATGTATTAATTAATTTATATAATACTTAGGCACTAACTCACAATTCTAATTTATTTATTACAATTTAACTTTTCTGTCCAATACTTTTTACTAAACTCCACTGTCCGCCGATGAGCCGGCTCTTTATACCAAGTCCAACTCTGCTACGAGAAGTCTCTAGACGCTCCCGAAAAATTTCATCTCTGACTCAACGACACTCTTCGCCCGTTTTAGCCGTTTCTCAAGCGTCAGCGGCATTCCTAGAAGATTCCGTCGTTTCGGGCATGAGTCGGGTGCCAAGCTGAAGTTCGTTTGCTTTAGACAGGGTCGGCTTAGGAATTTCATGACAATAACTAAATTAGTGACTAGGCATTCCAACGACATGTCAAACAATAGTTGCTGGTGGGAAGGACTCGTACATATAAGGGGATTGCGACATAGCCTTCCATCTTTTACGTTATTTTATTCGAAATAGTAGTCGCCAAGCTTTATTAACCTAATCTCCAAGTGGGCTAAGTTTTAAAATAAGATTGTCAGCGTTAGATATAAAGCAAACAAATGAAGTACATATTTTTTCAATTGTATTACCCATTTACCCTTTAGTTTTTATACTTATCAAAAAAGTACTTCGAATTGTTTGTTTTTATTAAATAAAGACATTTAAGATTTCCAAATTTCAAATCTCAGTCGTTTTTAAGTAGTTTTGATCGGATAAAAATCAGGATTATTCGCGATTCAAATTAATTTTCGCGCGCCTGTCATTTGTCACGTATAAGTAGGATGTTTGTTTATTTACGTGTTGTGGGATTTTGTATTTGTGATTTTTTAACTGTTTTTAGATAATATTCTTATTATAATAGTGTTTTTGAGTTTCATTTAGTGTTAATTCAAGTTTAGTTTTCGTGCTTTCGTTATAAATGTAATATTTTTCATGTGTAGTATGAACTAATTTGTTGGAAATATTGACCTATTGGTTGCTACAAGAACATCTAGAAATATGTATTTACTAAACCCAGGACATGTTTTATTATGTGGTTTAAAGGACATATCAGGTACCAAACATTTATTATTGATGAACTTCTTTAAAAATCTTACTATCCTTATTCTTATATCATGAAGTGAATTGTGTAGTACTTTGTATACATGTAAATGGTAATAAAACCGTCACAACTCATATTGGAGTTTGATTCTAAACAATGTTTTGCAAAATTTCAATATTGTGAATTTGTAGATACCCATATATCGTAAGAAACAAAATTTTATGACTTGCACTTGAAAAATAATGAATACTTGAGTTTTGATTTTGACAATAACACCATATAGATTGCAATTTGCTGGAGGCTTTTTCGCAGATTTCATTTTTAATTTAAATACTATCACATACTATAAGAAATAAACAAATTTAAAGCTAAAAAGTAACAAAAAAACTCTAATTGTAATTGATACAAATTAAAATGTAAACAATGAACACGAACGCCGATGTTGCCAAATGATGAACTGATTTTGTCTCTGACTGATTTTAAAACTAAAATTAATAAATGAACTGAAATTTAAAAAAAATCAATATAATAAATCGATTTTATAAAAAAATCCTTAAATAAAAGTATGATTACATATTACTAGACACAAATTTTGATTCTTAAATAAGAGGTCTTATCCATTTCTTCAAGAACTAAAATCCGACGACGTAACGAAATTTTGCTGCTTCTGGCAACACTGAACGTCATACTACTTATAGGGACCTTCTACTAATTTCCTCCAGAGGGCGTATCACTTAGCTTGAATCGCGAATAGTAGTTGGCCATTTATTGGTCACGTGATCTATCATCAGTATATCTTTTTTTTTATATTGTAAGTGTTTGAAATTGAAAAGTGGCTTAAGTAACCCCAGATGACTAATATTTTCATTGTGTTTGACATAAAATATTTAAAGTTAATCCATTATTTATGATTTGACGTGTTGTAGATAGAATACATTGTATATCGCAACCTCTTAGATATTCTAACCCTTCCCATGAGAGCCGTTTTGTTTGAAATGCCTAATTCTGTGGTTCCACTGACAATTACAGTGACAGTAGAGTTGTTTATTATTTTATTTACAACCATATATGTAATGCTGTCATTACTAACATTATTTCCCGCCCTCATTTCATCTATTCTAGATGAATATTTTTTATATTTAAAAAAATAACACATTTTTTGACAAATTTTATAATACCTATTTAATGGCAAACAATAAAAAACAACAATGAACTAAAATACAACAAACTACTTATTGATATATATTTATTATTCGCGAATTTATTATCCGACTTTATCTGACATTTATTTATATTAGTGTCAATTGTTTACCCCGTAATCACGATAACAATATATTTACTTGATTATTCTGAGAAAACCGCGCGCTTGGTAATTTGTCGTTAAATGTAATATTTTAGGTATGTTCAGAACGAAACAGATTTATTAACTTTGATCGAAATATGATGGTTGTAAATAAAATAGTATACAAACCTCGGTGGGAAGTTTCATTCCTGTCTCGAGATCATAGCTAACCTCGACGCTTCGCGTCTGGATGATCTAACTATTCTCACGACAGGAATGAAACTCTTCCCACCTCGGTGTGTAATATACTATTTCAGTACGTTTTATTCGATTTTTTTATATATGTATTATTATATATTTCTAAAGTAAATAGATAACATAATTCAAGTATATAATCGTTTAGTACCTAATCAATAAAGTTCTTTTAGATATTTTTCGTTCTATTTAAACCATGTTTTTGTTTTGTTTTTAAATGAGAAATTATATTTACCTTATGGTCTACCATGCATCAAACTAATCCATTAAAATCAAAATAGAAAAAACAAGATATTTTCAAATAGAAAAATAATAAAAGAGATGCATCAATACATAGTGTGTATATTTAAAACTTAAATTATGATCCATAGATGAAGAAGAAGGTTACTTCTGATGGATAAAATCACCTTTTGAAGCCCTCTTTATATATTACAGATTGCGCTTACAACTTACCGTTCCTCACTGCTCTCGCTCTCCCTCGTAGAGGTCCCTGTGTCACTCCCGATACTACTCTCAACCTTTTTCAGTTCCTTTTGTGGTTTCAACCTACTCTCAATTTCCGAAAACTTCTTTTGGTTCTCCGGCCGCTCAATCAAAGTCTGCAGCTGATTCTTCAGCAACGTGGCAGTCTCCAAACTATCACATCGGTACGCGTGCACGTGCAAAGGACACTTAGTAACAGGATTGAACAGGAGCAGGATACACGCGATGATATCGTCCTGCTGATAAACGCAAGTGATCGTACTGTGCGGTATGAAGTGCTTGATCGTTTCGTTTTTGGGTTTGGAATTTTTTTGATTTTGCGATACTACATTTTGAACTATTTTCAGACCTTTGTGGGATACTTGAAGGGTTACTTTGAAGGGTTCTATGTCCTTTTCGCGTTCTTCGAGATGTTGTATGACCGGTAGTATGTATTCCGATCCTCGTAAGCCTTTTGATTCTTTTGCACCTAGAAACCACACGTAGTAACTGGATTTTTTTATGTCTTTTCGAAGTTTTAGGGCCATTTGTGGTTATTTTGGATTCATTTTGTGACGAAGTGGCAAAAATGCGGTTTATATGGCACTAATTTGATGTGGTTTGATCGAGATTTAGATTGGTTAAGTCATGATGAACTGCAATGGCTCTTGAAATTTGGTGACTACCTGTAACAAAAGAAGAAATTTATTAGACAAACCTGTAGACTATTATATTTCGCAAATAGTGGACTATTATATCTCGGAAATAATGTCTAAAACGGTTGATATTAAACAATTAGATTGGTTGCCCATTGTTGTTCGTGTGGCTCAAGAAACATTTACTGTTAACTTTGTTACAAAAGTCCATAACAAAACACATGCTTGAAACTTGATAATACAATTTAAATGAAAGTAGATTATACTGTATTTAAATTGACAGTAGTAGAACGCTTATACCTTAATACCATGTAATGGAGGAGAATTAGTGGACTATTTTTACTATTATCCCAACTTTAAACTACCAGTGGGTTTATTTTGACTTGTTTTACACGCATGTCCGTCACTTAGGGCTCCTAAATCGTCGTCCTCTAGTAAATATTGAGAGGCTTGTATACATTATTTAATCCCTAGGTGGGCACGAGATGGGATGGTCTATTCATTCCAGTGAAAAGAAGACTGATGAAACCGTTTCAAATGATGCTAAGCTGTTAACTACTCATATATGCAGACCACAACTGAAGCTGATGGTTCTTGTTTCTCCTTCTTTCCTGTCCCTCTTACGTTTTTTCCTTTTACATTTTTTCCCATTCTTTGAAGATTCCTGACATTGGAAGAGAAAAAATGTCTGTAGAGCACTTGCTGAAAGAAATTAACTTAAAGCCTGGTAGAATGCGTACTAATGTGCTACTAGAATAATGTAAATAGTTTGTGCGAGTGAAGGGGGAGTAGAGTGGACAGCACTTGCGGAATAGTACACTCGACTATTCCAGCGCCACTTCCACAATCTTACTCTACTCTACCCTGCCGGTTTTTATTTCACTATACCACTGTAAACAGGCACTAGTGGCTTGGTTTTAGCAAAGGAGAGTGTTTTGAATGCTGCTATTGGGTAGAGTAGAGAATTCTGAAGAAAAGTATGCTAGTGAACTCTACTACTAATTATATTAATGTAAACCTATCTTAAAACTTGCTTATATGTAATAACTATCGCAAGTTACTCTCAAAAGAACTATCGCAAGTTACTATCCCGTGTAAACAACTCTTATAGACTAGTCATTTATAATTTATCGAACGTATTCTCAAAAATTACAATAAATATCTCAATTCCCACATCTTATACAAACTTAAGTCTAATAGATTGATATCTTGGATTTAAAAGGTATGGTGTCGTTTAAAAATATCTTCTTTATCTTATTTTTTTGTAAACACATTCAAAAAGCAATTATGTATGACAAAGTTGTTATGTACTACTTACATTTCTCTTTTATGTTCAACGCATACGAATGGATTCTAGATATTTTAAATAGAACATGTCTAATGCATGTTTGTAGTTAAAAATGTAAAAATAGCCACGAAGAATGTTATCAAAAACAAGTTTAAATAAAATAATGTCTAACCCGGTTTGTTGTATTTATTGTCGTGAGCATTAACCATGCCAAGTAATGTTGATAAAAATAAAATGATAGGTATGTATGTATTTAAATGTTTGGCTTTGGCCTGAATAAGTAAAGGAGTTCCTTTATGTTGAAATTATTATTTTTAACTTGAAATCTTGAGGTTTTAATAACCTCCTTAAATTTAAAAATTACCAAATAAATACCAAAAGGTCCGTAAAAGGAAATGATACTTCGGATCCTGTACTGCTTCGTATATATTCTAGCTTTGATTTAATTCGCTGATTTAAGTCTGCTAGCTAAAGAAAGCTAGATATTTTTTATATTAGAGATAAATTAAAATCTAACTAATCTAAAGTGTGACCCAGTCATTTGAACTGCCTAATATGTCAGATACTACACCATTTATTAATTATAATTCGACTAGCTGATTGAATTAATTTCTGACAATAACTCGTATAAATATGTGAGCTTTTTGTATCTTGTATTATTGTTCATTAACCCGTTCCAATCTTTGCTTTTCCTCGATTTATATGCAGTAAAAGGTTCGTTCCAAACGATCGGGCTCGAGGCCAAACAAAATTTAATAAAAAAAATAAATCAAACTTTCTCTCATTGAATAACTTTTCCCTTTCTGTGTAATAAACCCATAAAATTACTTCTGTAACACTTGAAATTCACAATCCATGCTCAATGGATTTTAAACTTCATTATTAATTTAAATATAATAAAAAAACATGTTTTTAGGAAATTCTAATGAAAAATCTAATACATGTTATTTCATTATTAGAGATTTTATAGAGATTTTTTAGAGATTTTATAGAGATTTTATAGAGATTTTATAGAGATTTTATAGAGATTTTATAGAGATTTTATAGAGATTTTATAGAGATTTTATAGAGATTTTATAGAGATTTTATAGAGATTTTATAGAGATTTTATAGAGATTTTATAGAGATTTTATAGAGATTTTATAGAGATTTTATAGAGATTTTATAGAGATTTTATAGAGATTTTATAGAGATTTTATAGAGATTTTATAGAGATTTTATAGAGATTTTATAGAGATTTTATAGAGATTTTATAGAGATTTTATAGAGATTTTATAGAGATTTTATAGAGATTTTATAGAGATTTTATAGAGATTTTATAGAGATTTTATAGAGATTTTATAGAGATTTTATAGAGATTTTATAGAGATTTTATAGAGATTTTATAGAGATTTTATAGAGATTTTATAGAGATTTTATAGAGATTTTATAGAGATTTTATAGAGATTTTATAGAGATTTTATAGAGATTTTATAGAGATTTTATAGAGATTTTATAGAGATTTTATAGAGATTTTATAGAGATTTTATAGAGATTTTATAGAGATTTTATAGAGATTTTATAGAGATTTTATAGAGATTTTATAGAGATTTTATAGAGATTTTATAGAGATTTTATAGAGATTTTATAGAGATTTTATAGAGATTTTATAGAGATTTTATAGAGATTTTATAGAGATTTTATAGAGATTTTATAGAGATTTTATAGAAATTTTATAGAGATTTTATAGAGATTTTATAGAGATTTTATAGAGATTTTATAGAGATTTTATAGAGATTTTATAGAGATTTTATAGAGATTTTATAGAGATTTTATAGAGATTTTATAGAGATTTTATAGAGATTTTATAGAGATTTTATAGAGATTTTCTTAGAGATTTTATAGAGATTTTATAGAGATTTTATAGAGATTTTATAGAGATTTTATAGAGATTTTATAGAGATTTTATAGAGATTTTATAGATATTTTATAGAGATTTTATAGAGATTTTATAGAGATTTTATAGAGATTTTATAGAGATTTTATAGAGATTTTATAGAGATTTTATAGAGATTTTATAGAGATTTTATAGATTTTATAGAGATTTTATAGAGATTTTATAGAGATTTTATAGAGATTTTATAGAGATTTTATAGAGATTTTATAGAGATTTTATAGAGATTTTATAGAGATTTTATAGAGATTTTATAGAGATTTTATAGAGATTTTATAGAGATTTTATAGAGATTTTATAGAGATTTTATAGAGATTTTATAGAGAGATTTTATAGAGATTTTATAGAGATTTTATAGAGATTTTATAGAGATTTTATAGAGATTTTATAGAGATTTTATAGAGATTTTATAGAGATTTTATAGAGATTTTATAGAGATTTTATAGAGATTTTATAGAGATTTTATAGAGATTTTATAGAGATTTTATAGAGATTTTATAGAGATTTTATAGAGATTTTATAGAGATTTTATAGAGATTTTATAGAGATTTTATAGAGATTTTATAGAGATTTTATAGAGATTTTATAGAGATTTTATAGAGATTTTATAGAGATTTTATAGGGATTTTATAGAGATTTTATAGAGATTTTATAGAGATTTTATAGAGATTTTATAGAGATTTTATAGAGATTTTATAGAGATTTTATAGAGATTTTATAGAGATTTTATAGAGATTTTATAGAGATTTTATAGAGATTTTATAGAGATTTTATAGAGATTTTATAGAGATTTTATAGAGATTTTATAGAGATTTTATAGAGATTTTATAGAGATTTTATAGAGATTTTATAGAGATTTTATAGAGATTTTATAGAGATTTTATAGAGATTTTATAGAGATTTTATAGAGATTTTATAGAGATTTTATAGAGATTTTATAGATATTTTATAGAGATTTTATAGAGATTTTATAGAGATTTTATAGAGATTTTATAGAGATTTTATAGAGATTTTATAGAGATTTTATAGAGATTTTATAGAGATTTTATAGAGATTTTATAGAGATTTTATAGAGATTTTATAGAGATTTTATAGAGATTTTATAGAGATTTTATAGAGATTTTATAGAGATTTTATAGAGATTTTATAGAGATTTTATAGAGATTTTATAGAGATTTTATAGAGATTTTATAGAGATTTTATAGAGATTTTATAGAGATTTTATAGAGATTTTATAGAGATTTTATAGAGATTTTATAGAGATTTTATAGAGATTTTATAGAGATTTTATAGAGATTTTATAGATATTTTATAGAGATTTTATAGAGATTTTATAGAGATTTTATAGAGATTTTATAGAGATTTTATAGAGATTTTATAGAGATTTTATAGAGATTTTATAGAGATTTTATAGAGATTTTATAGAGATTTTATAGAGATTTTATAGAGATTTTATAGAGATTTTATAGAGATTTTATAGAGATTTTATAGAGATTTTATAGAGATTTTATAGAGATTTTATAGAGATTTTATAGAGATTTTATAGAGATTTTATAGAGATTTTATAGAGATTTTATAGAGATTTTATAGAGATTTTATAGAGATTTTATAGAGATTTTATAGAGATTTTATAGAGATTTTATAGATATTTTATAGAGATTTTATAGAGATTTTATAGAGATTTTATAGAGATTTTATAGAGATTTTATAGAGATTTTATAGAGATTTTATAGAGATTTTATAGAGATTTTATAGAGATTTTATAGAGATTTTATAGAGATTTTATAGAGATTTTATAGAGATTTTATA